ACCAGCAGCTGATAGTGCTGCAAGAGATCCATACCAATAATGCCGGTGGTCACATCTGCCACTATGAAAACCCAACGAAAGGGACGACGCAATCCAAGGTTGAGATCGAGGAATCTCCGACCATAGGTTGTGATGGGCGAACCGTTGGCTGCACGAAGTTGCAGAGACATTGGCCGCAGACGCTCTTCCTTCGTAGGTGGGATGACGCTAGCTTCTGCCCCAGTGTCAACTAGGAAGCGTATCCCAGAATGTCGATCAGTGACGAAGAAGAGGCGACATGGAAGTGGCTCGCCAGCGACGTTAGTCGCCGTCACGTGCTGGCTCACACGTTTCCCGCCTGGTTAGCCTCGAAGGTGCAAGGTCGAGTGCACTTTTTGGCATTGGCACCATAACGTTTATGGTACCAGCACAACCTGGGTTGGGATTGTCGCGATTTGGAACGTCTGCTATCGGTACGGGAGGCAGACCTGTTGCGCGAGCGAGACGTGCGACCTTTGTAAGAACTACCAGACCGCATTTCGTTCCTGATGCTGCACAACTCTTCATACAATTTTGAGATGTGAGTTATAACATCGAAACTTGTTGGCTCAACAGCCGAGGGAGGGTTTTTGAACGAATCCGTGGCAGTAGACAGTGCAGCTGAGATACTAGTGTTGGGTTTCGTAGCATCCACAGCTCTGTCAGCCGCTTCCGCCAACTCTATTAAGGGACACTTATGGAAGGGTGCGAGGATCCCTTGAACCGACTGTGGTAACCTCTGTAACCACAGTTGCTTGAGAAATGCTTCATCAATGTTGAAGTCAGCAATCAGCTGCTTCATCTGACGAAGCAGTTGCGTCGGCTTGCGATCACCCAGATGCACATCCCTGAAAAGTTCTTGCACTTTCTGCTGGTCAGTAAGTGCAACACGTTTGATGAGGGCGGTTTTGAGGCGATCGTAAAGATTCGGTGCTGGGTCATCTAGCACATCTGAGACGTCTTCAATCACATTTTCCGGTAAGCTGACGATGACTAAGTTGGACTTAGTTTCTTGTGATTGAATGTGTCTCAAGGCAAACTGAGCTTCCACATGGGAGAACCATGCAGATGGTCTGTGGGCCCAGAAGGTGGGAAGCTGGAGGGTTACGGCCATCTGCGCAGTCGAGTCGTTATCCGCCATTGATCAGGGAATTAACGAGGCACGATAGTGATAATAAAAAAAATTACAATGCAAAAATAACCAATGAGGAGTGCAATAATATAAAAAAAACGCTAGACGTGCCAAAAACAAAATTAGGCCAGACAAATCAACGCAAGAGAACAAAGGTACTAGACAAAGTAAGAAGTGATACTCGGGCTCACCAATTTTGTAGGGATGCGTGTTACAATTCCGTAACGTTTGATCAACCCTACTTAATTTGATGTGCTCTAGTACCTGCTTAACCAGTACTTTACCTAACGTGTAAGTACTGGTAACAAAACACAAATCAAAAGAACTGATACGCAATGTATTTAAAGGAGCTATGTATTTAAGGTAAATGTTATAATAATGAATGAGGGAAAAGTTTAATCAACTTATCTGGCTTGTAAGGCTGAACTAGGGACTCGGAGTACGTGCGTGGTGATCAGCACAATGGAGCGCAAAAATGGCGTCCAAGCCTGCTCGGATGCATGCTCGTTAAAACAAAACTTAAAACACCCTAAGCATCCGGAGGCAAGCTAGAGATTTATTTAGTTAATTTAATTTAAACTATTTATTTTAGCCCTAGTTATATTTTGGTGCCAGGAAGGTGCACTACAGGATGTCGGAAACAATGAACTGCATAGAAAAATCAGAATATTTTCAGGGGCATAATGAACACTTGAAGACGCGTTTTAGGTAAATAAAACTTGAAACATAGGGCAATAAATACCCATCGTGTAGTCAATGGGTCTATGGTCATTTATATAATCCTTTTAACCTGTGTCGAAACAATTTTCAGTCCAGTGATAAAGTTTGAAGTGAGGAGTTGCAAATCAGGGTTGGTATCATAAGTGCTCACTGGAAACATTTTAGCGAGAAAGGCAATTCAGATTTGATGGGTGTGAATGGAGAGCTACAACATGTTTGCTTGCTAAGATGCTAGAGATTTCAGCTAGATGAAAAGCATTTGAATATTCGGAGGTAGAATTTAAGGAAAAAGAAATATATTTTCCAATTCTTTGTCATTCACTTTAGATAACACACCAACCTGAGAAAAACATTTTCAGGCTGTCGATCTACTCCCAGAAGTTGCAAGATCATTTATGCAACCATTGAATGAGAATGTGACAAAAGTATGTTGGAAAGACAAAGATGTGTTTCAAAATTAATGTTCTTGTACGCCTGGCATAGCCTACCAGCAAATATGCTTAAGTGAAAATATAAAAGATAAGGAATCGCTAAAGGCTGTGATAACGTATTTCTGAATACGTGCTAAATCAAAATAACCTCTTGTTGCAGAGGAGTGAGGTTATTGGGGTCTTAGTGTGCAAAAGAAAAAAATGTGATGCGGAAACCTTATTAAGGAATGCCAGGATCAAACTGTTTTCAACAAAACAACTAAGCGTATTATAACACTGTTAGCAGTTAGGTGAGGATGCTATCCAGAAAATAATAGCTATCCTATAATGACAATAGATATCGTATAACGTGGGGGAAACTGCAATACGCACAAAGTTTCTACTGTCTCCAAATCAAAAATTGTTTGATAAAATCCCACGTACATTTATTACAATCACTTCTACTAGTCTTTGGACTCCAGAACAGTATCCCCGCCATTGTAGCATGTGGTGACAACCTTGTGGCTACTATGTTGAGCTCTGAAATCTGACTCCAAATTTATATACGTGTCCAGATACACTATCACTTATTTATAATTCCCGACACAGCTGATCCACCTACGTCAGACAGTGTGAATATCAGGAGTTAACGCGAAGTATATATCAGGATGTTGTATTGGTCAACGAGCAAGCAAAAAGTCTTTCTCAGTACAACTAAACAAAAAATGTTCAATGAGTTGTTGCATATATCAACACAATACAGTGAAATAAAATGCTACAACTAAGTATCACTTTTTATTGTCCATTTTCATAACAAACCCCAGATTTTGTAGTCTACTGTTGTGAATGTAATAACACACCGATGAATGTCAGGCAGTTTCAGCATAGGTTTTTTTTTTTGAGGAATTATCTTCTATTATAACCCAGCCAATATTAACAGCTGATGCATTTTGTGCAAAGAGAAATAAAGACAGAGAAACAAGCAGTGAAAAGAAGGAAGAACTTCAACAAGAAGTTTATTTTCCATATCCATATTTCTCTTAATTACCTTTTTTTGCTGAGACGTACATGCATTGTCAATTAAGTATTTCAGAATATAGCTTCCATGTTTTTGTATAACTTCGGGATTGCAATATCCTCATGCATACCCACTGGCTCATTTCGAGCTATGTATGCTTCACATACTAAAATGATGACGTAGACTGAAACAGCAGTCTGCTCTCTGGCAACAGCTGAACGCTTTAGCCGTTAGCAGTTTCTCCTGGGCAATCGGCGAAGATCCCGCCAATGTATGATATCCGCGTTAGGAGAAGGTGGACAGTGATATCGGCCACCAAAAGATCGTTACCTGGTAGAATATTGTCAAGTCGTGATCCTTTCCCAACTGGTCCCCATCGAGTATTTTCAACAGCTTATCCTATTATTTCTGCTGCCACGAAGGTATTTCAAAGCCTCTGATCAAAAGATCTCTGTCCGCAACTTCCTTGTAATCCTCAGTTATTTAGTTTTTTTGAAGTCTCCGGTGAGTTCTCCGTGGTGAGGTTCTGCTGAGTTATGACAATAATGTTTATTGGTGGAAATAATGGTAATACGCATTCTTGAATTCATAGGTGCATTTCATTTTTACAGATTGCATTTAGTAGTGAAAACGATTGGTGATATTGTTTGATATCTTTCATCTCTGGTAGTGGCAATCCCAACGCTGAAACAAAGAAGATTCTACATCACATAGGTCTGTTTTCTTTTTTTTCACAAGCAGCAATCACTACAGGTGATGGGTTTATATATATATATATACCTTTCAGTTACTTGGTTGAAATCTAATGGTTCGTGAATTTCTTTCTTCAGTTAATACAATATCTAAAATACGAGATCACTTGACAGTAGGGAAAGTTACAAATCCTTAAGAATTGAGGGGGTATGAGCACACGGTATATACGAAATGTTCACCGACGAATGAACTTACAATTCTAGGGAAGCGATCGGTAATCGCTGTCCATTCAAATGAAAGCAGATAAATGGTTGGTTTCGATAATGCGGACACATAAAGAAGGGTTGACCTCAGAAACTCTACAGCTTCGAATCATATGGTGCAATAAGCTGATTATTTCTAGCTGGACCTTTGAAAACAATGAAGATACCTTATTGTTTATGAATAACTGTTTTTTTTCATAGAAGCAGAGAGAAAAATACGTCTATAAATTCAGTAGCACAGGCACATGCTTAAATTTTCCAACATTTTTCAGTGACTAGTGACAACAACAGCAGGAATTTATAATGATAGTTTATAACTACTCAATATGAACAATAAACCTTCTAGACAAAGATATACATATGAAAATATCTGAGGACAGATCGATGGTAACGTCTCTGACGACAGCATCGGGTGATGTGGGTTCGAATCTCTGGAAAGACACCTACTTTTAATCAGCAGATGAGTGCCAGCAAGTACAAGTTAGGTCTAGGGCTTCCTGTCTATTATGTCCACCCTTCTAACAATGTATCAAATTAATCTCAAACTTAACGATTCACTATACTTTTGTTTAATTTAACCCTAGTAATGCAGAAAAGTTGCCATTCTTACACAACTTAATGTCAAGTGAAAGACGAGATCAGTATGAGTGAATTCTTGTTTTTACTTTTAGTTCACTGGTTGGATCTTTTTTTGACATAAAACTAGTCGCATACTGGAAACTCTTGGTCTAGCAAAACATAATGGGGAAAAATAAAAAGTTACCGCCAAAAGTTTAATTTCCTTCCATAATTATAATTTCCAAGATAATAACGTCAATAAGACAAACGCATAATTATGAACTTCCACCACAAAGGTAATACAAGTCATGTTGAAACCTCCCTTTATCTATTATCATTCATCAGACAATAATCGAAAAACATTTATCAGTATCACTTCAATGACCATTATTTCAATCAACTATGAAATAAGTTACAGATGAATAAATTCTAATCAGTCTGAATACAGAAAAACGGTAGTTCAAAAATCGAAAACCTATACAAGGGAAGATATAACGATATAAGGTTCAAAAATTAAAACCTAAACACTTATTTATTCACTAAAGTAGATATGTTGAATGTTGAGAGTATAACGATGTAAGATGAATACTGAAAGAGGTTCATAGCTGATAAGTGAATCTGAAAGACGGCTTCCAAAAAAAGCAACTTGATTTTCATTCAATCTTCATGTGGTTTGAAATGGAAACGAAATTTGTGCAGAGCAGAGGAAGAATATGAATGATAATCTCCGGTAAACTCTGAAAAACTTTACTACAGAACAGATCCTTCATGAACGCGAATGTTCACTAATAGCCTAAAATAGAAAAAAAAGTTATTACAAGGTTAAGCCAAGCTTAAAACAAACAGTGGTTTACCAGGCTGATATTAAACATCTACCGATTATGAATATTGGTCAGTGAAATCAAGTGATGTTATGCACAGAAAGTAAATGCTTTCACATGTAGACTGAAAAATATTAGTTTGTTGCTGACAGCACATACGAATGTATTCCACAAACAGGTCACATGATAAAACACTAATTTAGCTTTTGATAACTGTTCAACTGACATGAGATCATGGTGAATATTATCAAGAAAAATATCGCTATAACTTAGAAACAGAAGAGGATGTATGCAGCGAAAGTACATTTTCGGAAAATATTTTGGGACAATATCACTGAGAATTCTGAACCATTACTTTTATCAGGGTTTGTAAAAATGTAGCGTTTAAAGCAGTCAATCATTTCACTCCCAAATCTTTTCAACACGGAAGAGTAGCAGAGCGTCATGCTACACTCAACAAAAGCAAAATACATTGGGTGTTTTGCTGAAGACACTGAGTGGACTGTATCTTGTCAGAGTCCTACTCTAAAACAATTATAACGTCAAGTAATGGGAAAGGTTAACGTTTCATGCTTCAGAACCCTTTAACGCTAACATGAAAAGTGTCAAAAATCGGTTATTGACAGAATTGTTGAATCAGTTTACTAAATATAGATGAACTGTTGATATGAACATTTGAATGACATCCGTTGCATCCATCTTTTATTATCTTGTTAACCAGATAGTAAATTCTTCAGTATATATTACACAGGAAGTGATTGGTAGTTGTCGCTTATAAGTCCGAATTTGATATAAAGTAACCGTAGAAAACAATAAATATTACCTGTTTTATTAAAAGTATACTCCACTAATACATTAATGATATCAAGGGTAGATATGTCAAGTTCACCGTTACCTACAAGCTTAGCAACATACCTCGGAGATAAAGTTAAAGTTATGTAGCAAACGTTTTACACAGTAACGAAAACCGGCTTCACAAAAAGTCCTAACTGAATGGAAACAGCGATGCAGAATATCGCAAAGTGCGTTTTCAAAATCCTTAAAGTACTGAAGTAACACAGTGTGATAAATGCCATAGAAGATGAGCATCATATCATTATTATTTGTCACTTGGGTTCTTAATGAAAAATAGGGCTTCAGTAGCACGTCTCCAGCGAACTCCCTTCTCTGCAAACTTTTGAAACTGGCTCCACGACAGCCCACAAGCTCTCATTTCTTTCTCGCACGATCTCCTCCATGTCACCCTCACCACGGACACCCAACTAGTCGCTTTCCATCTGGGTTCTACTCGAGGGCCTGGTGCGTGATGCCCCCAGTCAGCCTTCTCAGTGTATGCCCAATCCATCTCCACTTCCTTCTGCATATTTACTGAGCGATAGGTTCATGGTTGGTTCCTTGTTGCTTATTCTTTGTGGCCATCTGAGCTTCAGTGGGCACCATATAAAGTGGGAAAATGTAACGGGTTTGTGATAAGCTAAGTGGATCGGTAGAACCAAAGTTTCTCAGTAACCACTAGGTAGTGAGTTACAACTATTGTGTTACTAATTTTACTCGGCAGCTCAAACTTCGGTAGATGGAGATAACTGCAATGGAAGTACACTCCAACTTTTGCACTGATTCAAAACAGATATCTTGAAGTACAAATACTACTTAGAACGTTTGAAATGGAATTGGCATTACTTTATTATCCAAACTACCATTTTAAAAATAAGTGGATTTCCAGCCCATAATGAAACAAAAACCTACTTTCAAAATGGTTTTACCCAGCTGAGCTGGAGAAGGAGTGACAAGAACACCAGCACTTTCTAAAGCCGCCATTTTCTCCTTAGCACCCCCTTTGCCCAGAGAAATGATAGCTCCAGCATGACCCATACGACGTCCAGGTGGCGCTGTAACACCAGCAATGAAAGATACAACTGGTTTACGATTCGGACCCTAAAATAAAAGCAAGAATAGATGAAAGCTAAACGGCTTACTCGTAATAGAAGTAAGAACTAATTAACAAATAGTTTGACGTCCAACAAGTCACAGATAACACTGGAATAACTTTTTGATGGATTGGAAGAAAAATGAGGAACTTCGCAACTATTGCAATCAGTTGTTATAACATAAAATGCAATGCCATAGGCATTGGCCAAGTGCGAGCTATACTTATTACATGAACGTTTATACACTAAGAACTAGTGACTACCTGAGTTCCAAGGAAATGAAACAGCTACTTTACTTCGAATCAGTAACAGCCAACATCACAATTAAAAGCGAATTGTTAGAGGTAAGAACATAGTGATTAGTAACAAGTGTAACAAGAGCCTCGTTTTTGAAGGATATGAAACGTCAGAACAAATAACAGAAAAAGTACAAACAGCTAAAATTCAAATGTTTTTTGCTCGTTAGCAGTAATCGGTAATGTGTATCCTTAAGCCAATGGAACAAAGAAATAACTTCAGATGCATACCTTCATCACCTGAGTTTTTAAGCCAAGTTGATCAGGCGTTTAAAAAGAAATTCAAACCAGTTGAACCTGAGGTATGACTTACTTTCGTAAATACCACTTACGGGACGCTTTTCATCATGACCTTGTATCATTTTGACTGTATTTCTTCCTTATTTATCTACCTTTCACCTTTCTGCCGTCCACTTTGATGTGCTAATAAGAGTTATAGCAACACGGACCATTAATCAGTTATCTCAGGTTCAACATTGATGCTGACCGACTTCAGCACCTTTTCCGGGCTTTGTTATGAAATAAAGGCATATCTTGAAATGTTTATTAAACAGATGAATAAAACGGTTGTAAAATCTTAAAATACAACTTACACTATTGTGTTGTTTCAAGTACTCGGCAGCTTGTTCTTCTGACTCACCACCAATTTCACCAAGTAAAATAATTGATTCAGTACTAGGGTCACTTAAAAATACCTCGAGACAGTCAACAAAATTTGTCCCATTAAATGGGTCGCCACCGATCCCAACACATAAAGACTGACCAAGACCAACCTAGAATGCGAAACAATAAAGGTATTATTTGATTGGAATCGAAAGTCAAACTGTATAGTTGCATTACATGCATACAACAAACATGAATAATTTCTGTACACGCAATTTCAGTCGATTATTTCACATCGCACTGATAACAAAAGATGGCCGAAATTTCTAAAAGTTCCAAAAAGTGAGAGAATAATTTAGCTTATGCAGGAAGCTGCAGCTACTTTCATCGTACTCTTAATATTCAAACCAACTGTATTTTGATCTATTCTACAAAACCAAAGACTTTCCATAAATACTTCTTCGATCAAGTGGAAAGAGTGGGCAAACAATGGAAATTACTTGATGCGTACATCTCACCTAATTAGCTGTTTACACTACGATCATATATGTTTTTAGATTTGTCGCTACCTAATAGATCCTCCTGGTAAAGAAGTCATCATATACAGAATTATTACATGCAAGTCCAACCATGCTACAGTAAGAAGTGTCAGTTGGACGATGACTCCATATTTAGTGGAAACATGAAGAATGACAACTGCAACTGGATTAGTACTAAGAGATGCTGTACTTGGTGACCAAAGGGGTATAACAAGTGTGCACGCATGGAATCGTAAATTGTCTGATGGAAGTTATTCACGTACATAAATAGGTTTGAACAGTATTGCCTGTTCCATTAAGAATCTCATCAGTTGAAAATGCCAAACCAAAAAGGAATACAGTTTTAGAGCCAATAATCTTGGCAAGGTAGCGAAGTATGGCTAGGACAACTAGTTTAAATGTAATAAGTCAATCGACCAGAAGGGCTGTAAATGTAAGATTATTGGGACTCATCAGCAGTGGGTGTTTGCAAAGCCAGGTAGTGACTGAGTCACTACATGATTCGATTAGTTTAGGATGCTGTTATTTCCTTAGTGTGGACTAAAATCTCTGCATTAGTCCGAACCCAACAAACATCATTGTTCTTTAAACAGACGAGAAAAAAGCCTTCAAATGGTTCAGCATTCAAACACATATTGGGTTTCGCAAATGGTAGGTGGAAATTGAAACAGTAGACAAAGCCTAACAAATTCCAGACGAGTGCACAGATAAAGCGAAATGTAGACATCTACCATATGGTTTGCGAAAGATACCTGTGTAGTTTGGAAGACTGCTTCATACGTTAGTGTCCCGGATCTGGATACAATGCCCACTGTTCCTGGCTTGTGAATATGTGCAGGCATTATACCAATTTTACACACATTTGGCTTTATTATCCCCGGGCAGTTTGGTCCAATAAGTCTGGAAGCAGACTAAAAATGAAGACAAACAAGTAATAGATGAGAGCTATATATATATATATATATATATATATATATATATATATATATATATATATATATATATATATATATATATATATATATATATATATATATATATATATATATATATTGAATTCTGTAGGTTTATGTTTTGTTGAATATATTAGAAACACTAGGTTCTAAGAATACTTTTTTATTCCAACTTCCCCATACTTAGCCAGTTTCTAAGAAAACATAACCAATTTTCAATACGACGAAGGAATAACAATCGAATAACCTCTAAATTCAACCTGCGGAGTTGATTACTTGAGTTGAAATTTTATGCTTCACGGGACACCAAATACTAGCAGTAGCATTACGATTGATCTTGAGGCAAAAACAGACTTTTACCAGGCAGCTATAAAACAAGTGAAGACATTTATTGATGTAAAAGGTGTGAAAATCAGATAGCGCTGATATTCGGAACTTTCACGGGAATTAGATGAACTCAGCTGAGCACAAGTTTCTTAGTCTTATAATCAAACTGTGATGTACACATATAATCACTGGATTGCATACGTTTATCAGCTTAAATGATTACTGAAGCGACAAACACTGATATGGATTGCAAGGTTTTGTTGCGTCACAGACATTTTATAGACTATACAGCTTCTCCGCCAAGTGCGACCATGCTTACTGTGAAAAATCCTAAAAACCACGTTCAAAGACTGCAAAAACCGTCGTATAACATCTTTACCAAACTGGTAAATTCAGGGGACCCTAGCTGCAGACAAACGTAGCTACATTGATTAGTCACTGAAAAATGATGGGTTTTATTTTGTCTGTCCGATCGCTTTGCAATGTAGTCACCAAGTTAAAACACTCACCACCACAGTGCACTTAGATTGATGTTAGTCAGTTGGAGGCAACAAGCCCCACTAGACAGAATCCAGTCGGCACTCAGAACTAGACGACATGAAATTGTTCATTGCGCAGTGAATAGTGTATGCATTCAATTCAGTCCCGTAGGAAGTTGGTCGTGACCCAAATAGTTCAGTAGTAAGGTTTTTGACTACAGAACAGAGTGACGTGGGTTAGAGAGACTAAGAACACACAGGTTCTGTCGAAGTTGAAAATACGCCTTTGCAACGAATGCGAATAAGCACGAAACCGAATGTCTCCTATCAATTAACACAAATGTAGTGCATTCCGAATGAGCATTTACATTCGCTATACTGTAATCCACCCATGTAATTTCTAACATACTCGTAATTTCATATTTACTCACGAAGTTTCGATCCAACATGAATCGTAAGCAGTAGAAAATTAGGTTGTACATTTTAAAATGAACAGTCAACCGATCAATTTTACGATTACCATAACACAGAAAATGTGCTCTGTATTGAGTATACTCACGTGAAGAGTACTATTACAACGAAAATACCGTACACAAAAAGTTGACAGTTTCAGTTAGAACAAAGAAGTGTGAAAGTGTTAACATAATGCTCGGCAACCACAACCCCCAAACGTAGTTTAAAGTGTATTTAGAGGCAAACCGTTACAATGAGGAAATTCATAAACTTTCCGTATGAGTAAATAACTTCCAATTTTTTATCACGGAAGCGAAATGCTTTACCCTTAACCACACTAACGTTCAGAGAATACTCAAGAACAAGACCATAAAGAAATATTACCTGCTCCGTAAGACGCTTTCGCACGCGTATCATATCATGTTGCGGAATACCTTCGGTTATACAGACAATCAAAGGAATCTGTGCTTCGATGGCTTCGTGAATAGCTGCAGCAGCATGTGGCGGTGGTACGTAAATAACAGTAGCTGTCGCACCTGTAGCTTCTTTAGCTTCCATTACTGAGTTGAAAACAGGTAATCCAAGGTGAATATTGCCACCTTTTCCAGGAGACACACCACCAACCAGCTTCGTGCCGTAGGAAATAGTTTGTTGAGAATGGAAAGTCCCCTGTTTTCCGGTAAACCCTTGGCATATTAGTCTGGTATTCTCATCGAGTAATATGTTCTTCCGGGTACTATTGTAACATGATCGACGAAGCGCTCCTATAACTTGAAAAGTACAACAGTTAGACAGAACACGATATAACTTGCAGACATGAAAAGTACCTGCGAATCACTCGGTTTGCATTTCACATGTACAAAGATTTTCGCAACATCCAAATTACTAACTCGGGACGTCATCCAAATAAAACCACTAATTATTTATCATACCAATTTACCATCCAAAGTTCAAAGTCAGATTTATTGTTGATCCTCACCTGATATATGTGACTGTGGTATGCTAATTCCTATACAGATGCTGATTTGAATCCACTCACGCTTTTTAACTACAACTACATATTTCAATCAATCTAGACGGAAAGCCCATAAGTCAAGATAGAGAGGCATACGATATTTATATGACGTAATCCGCTAAATAAGCATTTGACATGAGGGCAGTTTAAAACATCATGAAACATAGTACAACAAACAATCGCCAAACACCTCCAGTTCTGATTAATGACGTTTAACTGCTTGGAGTATGATTTCCCGAGAGCTACATGTTGCCTTGATGAGGTGGTCAAGGTGGAATATCATATAGACTCAACGAACGACACTAGCTAGAACGCTTGCTGGTTGAAGTGCTACCACACAGGAAAGGTATCCTGAAGACTAGTAAGCCAGGAGGCAGTTACGGTAATAGAGTAAGCACTTACGTTGTTGTGCTGTTCCGAGGGTGAAGTTACACTTCTAGCTGAACGGAGTTTAAAGGAATTAAGGTGCTTTCCATGGATGAGTAGCATTTGAAACTGATGCTCTTCTATCCATAAGAAAATGAATCGAAGTAAAAATCAGCCCTCAAAATAACACACCTCCATGCTCTGTGGTACTCCGGCACTGGTGTGTATGAATGTTCCTAGTCCAGTGTTAGTATCATCTAATCCAGCGAGCCTTGAGAACAAATTTCACGAGCTGGAAGTCCTGGTATATGAACTTCAACCAGTCGTGGCAGCCATCACGTAGACGTGGTTTATTCCTGATCCCCAACCGACAGCTGTTGACCTTGCCGTGGTAGTCGGGTTTGTATATCACAATGATCAAACGAGGCGCCCTGGTTGAAATACTTGTCTCCTTAAGGTCCAACCATGCCATAAAGGTCGGTTGGATAGTGGTAGGGTAAGTAGTTACCGTTGTAGTGGATAGTGTGTGACAGCAGTAAGGTGTTTTCCACGAAGGACCAGCAGTATCATGGTGATGCTATTTTCCTTAAAGGAAGGACGGGGGTCAGAAAAAGTCGGCCCCAAAAGTAGCACACTCCTTTCGCGGTTGGCAGCATGAGATTTTTCTATTCGGTGGTCGAACAATCACATCTCATACCAAACATCCTAAAAAAGCTGTGACAGGCCTCAAGCAGATGTCCCATGGGGTTAACGGTCACACAAATCATTTCCTTTTTCTTTTTCAGGTGCTCTGCAGAAACAATTCCTGCGGTGTGAGAGCCCTAGAAGTATCAACCATTTGCACGCTATTAGTAGTATACAGGGTCCAACAACATAGCCTATTCCCATCACCTGTCTGCCCACTTGCATTCACTTCCTGATACTAATATTAACCCTCTTACAACTTCCACAACCTCTCACTCTGCGTTCACTCCCAACGATCCAAGCCATCAAGAACCGTAATTAGTCGCCTAAGACTCTGCTTTCGATTTCATACTGGAGCTTTCAAACTCAGAATTCTGCTAAATCGGATGGCAAGCATCGCTCGCCAGAACTCTTGAATCTGAAGCTATGAATTGTGTTTCTAAGATACGGAGACAGTTTAAAATAACACCAAAATCAAACCAACGATAGACACAGAAAGATCATATTGCTAAAAGCCGTAGTTGGAATACTGCCGCCCTTTGACCAAGAGTCTTCGAAATGATTAAGAACAGTGGTGGGTGGTGAACGCAAGAAACGGAGAAGGTACCACCGTTGGGTAGCACTCGGCAACTATTTAGGGTTATTTAGGATACCGGCAAAAAGAAGACGACGGTGAATGAAACCATCGCCGAAAAGGATGGGACCCTGATACGCTCTCAAGACAGGTTGCTAGAATGTTGTGCAGAACAACCTTAAGCACAGTTTAGCAGGCCCACACCAACGCATCAGTTGCCTAGTAACCAACTCAAGTGACTGGGATGCAGATGACTGTCCTTCAAATCTCTTACAAGTTGTGCAAGCTATTCCGAAAAAGAACTGATGCAAAGCACCAGGACTTGACATATCACCACCAGAGGTTTGATCATAGTTATCCAGTGATTAACTGGAGCTCGAGAACAGCAAACTCAAGAAAACCAGGCAGGTTTCTGACCTGGACCAGGTTGCATCCCAAGTGACAGAAACAAAACATTATTATATCCGAACACAAACGTGGTACATCAAGGGCACGAAGAAATGCATCACACAAAATAGTAGAAAAACATTGTGATGGGAGGTGGGTAAGTAATAAAGAAAAACGATAAGAATGGCACGATTAGAAAGGCAGTCCAGTAAGATACATTCAAACATTCATTACTTTTCAGTAGCAGAAGTTAAGAGGAAGCTACAGCATGACAGCCACTGGTTTCAATTCTGAGCCGTATCTGATAACGTCTCAAGCCACTGGGTTGCATAATCTTTCGAACCCACCCAGGAAGTCGTGATGCGCCAACAGATGCTAACCCGACACAACTATCCTTCACACCACGGAGCCACGTCATACACTGACCACCTCTTCACTTCTTCCAAGGGATAGCAAACAATAAACGGCAAGGAAGTCATTGGGACAACGTGTGTAATACATGTTCAAGCCACCGAAGCCGGTGTTTCAAGATGACTTCACTTACTGAATGACGATATTCATCATTCCCAAAGACACGCTGTCGTACCTCAGAATCGCTTACATGGTGTTTCGACCGGATAAGAGCGATCCTACGGACACGACGATGATCGAACACGAAACGCACTCACCTACCTTCTGCACATCTGTGCGGTAGGCAATGAGCCACGCCTATTGCGTGAGGGTTAATGATACCACTTGGCTGCCAAAACCTCAAGAGGTAAAGGGGGCCTCGAGGGCGGGGCCCAATGGTTGATAATCATCTCCCTAAACCACTGAGTAACAGCCCCAACACAGACTCGTCACACATCATCATTTCGGAAGGGCCAGGTTTCACAGGCGAAGAGTAGAACTGCTTACACCAGTGTTGAGAACCCAAGCTTTTACGGTCAGACTAACGTCGCAACGGCGCCAAAGGTGGCCCAGATTAACGTATGCAACTCGGACTTTCCAAATGGGGTTGAAGATTTCATCACACACTTACCCAGACACACGAACTTTACGACTAACTCCAACGGCTCACCACCCAGGGTGAGCGCAGGGATAGGCTCCTGCCAATCTTACATAAGTACTTTGCACTTCAGTGGTGCAAAGCACATACCATACTTACAGGCACTAATCGCCAACTGATAAAGTGTGATTCGTGTAACTTGTGCATTATCGCACAGTAAGAAGATATCGTCCGCACATTGAAGGTTGAGTAGCCGTTCTCCGGATATTAGATCTACACCACCATAAAGCACTTTCTTCACAGCCGTCTCAAGAATGTCATCGATGGCAAAACTAAAGAGGAACGGAAAAATCCGGCAACCTTGCCTAACCCACTACTGGTTTGGAACAATGGAGACAGGTGGTGGTATGCCTCACTCTCCCTTATGTGTTATTATATAAGGCTTTCCAGATGTTACTAAATTTCTCAGGCACGTTCCTCTCTAATAGGTAATTACAGAATACAGTTCTGCCTAACGAATGGATAACAGCCCTAATGTCAAGAAACACAATCGCCGGCCTGCCATACTTCTGGTTATGTGCAAACATCTGATGGAGGGTGAACACATGATCAGTGCATCCACGACCTGAACGAAACCGGGCCCGCTCCTTGTAAATCACTTACGTGTTTTGCAGTCTGCATAGTATGATGGCAGCCAATATTTCCGACGTGACTGGCAACAGATGAATACGCCGATGATTGTCACATACACCACGTAGACCCTGTTTAGAGATGGGCACAATAGCGACCTCATCCCACAGTAATGGAACAGTTAGTCTGCCATACTTTCTAAAAAAAAATCTAGTCAGTTTCCTGACTAGAACCGTTCCTCCATCCTTAAAGAGACCCAGGGGAAAAGTAAGTTGTCTGGGCCGGGTGCCTTGTGGCGTTTTAGAACTTGGAGTTACCTATAGACCTCCGCTTCGTTATGTGAGTCAGTCTTAACTGACCATGAAGCACGATACACTGAAACTGAGAATCCTGGAGCAGTGGGTCAGCTAAACTGCCTTTCGAAATGCTCCGACCAGCGTTCCAGGGTCGCTGAAGATTGTTTGTCAGCGCACTATCTACCTCACAGACTATCCTACTAACACCCGGCTTCTTGCTGCCAGTGGCTCTGATGAGCTGGAACAGCTTCTGACTATTGCCAAATGTAACTCCTGTTTCTATCTCATTCGCGCATTTTGACCACCAAGCCTCACGGTCCTTGCATAGGCGTTGTGTAATCTTTCACATAAGAGACTCAGTAAACTCACAATCCGCCGAAATGCTCCGATGGATGTCAAGAAGTTGCAGGAAGCTGGAAACGACTGTGTTCATTAGCGGGTTGTTCTTCCTAGCAGCAAGCGGCTTTGCTCGCCATTTTCATGGTGTCTTTAAAGTGCAGCCAATGCTCGTCTACTCTTCCTCATTAACTGTTTCTTTCAGTTTACATTTAAGTTCTTCAATATAGTTACAGCACTAAGTTCAGTAGGTAAGACGGTAGCAGATGAAGTTCAAGCACAATGTGCTCTTACACTTAAGCGAAAGAAGAAAACAAAACACAATTTACCAAAAGCAGAAAAAGAAGCTTTGAAGAACCTCCGAAATGACAAAGATATAGTAATTTCGACAAAACAATAAGAAGACGTAAATTGTGTGAACCGTGTAATGTATTTGCGCAACACATTTCGAACTATCTGATCACACACGTACTTGTCATAGGTATTTATATAAA